TAGGAAAGGCCCAGTGCTGGCTGCTGAGTCTGCAAGTCAGAGCCCTCTTGGCTCCCTGGGTCCTGGCCCTGGGTCGCCGATGGATCCTTGTCCAGTTTCCACCTGTGTGATCATGAGACAGTGCTCTTGCCCTCCTGAGAAAAGTAAAGGAAGTACAAGTTTCCGGGTGTTTCAGGGCAAGGGAGCCATGGAGAAATGTCATTGCCATATTTGCTGGTGTGCTAGGCCTCTGTCCTGTGTTGTAGCCTCACCATGGAGCAGCTGAGCTTGGCCAACACCCGGTTCGCAGTGGACCTCTTCCGCACCCTGAAGGACAACAACCCCTCTGGGAACATCTTCATCTCCCCCATGAGCATTTCCTCAGCGCTGGCCATGGTCTTTCTGGGGGCCAGAGGCACTACCGAGGCACAGATGTCCAAGGTCAGCAGAAACTAACAAAAGGAGTCTGGGTTCCCTGCAAGTCCCTCATAAAAAGCTGTCTTTGAGCTCTTACACGGTGTTTTAAACACTGTGCTTGTGTGTTCCACAACTACACACGATGAGGTCAGACTTTCAGAAAAGCCCCAAAAAGAGTTCATTTATATGCAGGCTTTCACTCATGATTGAGTTTTTGCTGAGCACATACTATCTGCCAGGCACTGTTTTTTGTTTGGCTGAGGATACTGTGGTGAAGAAAGCTATGAAAGCCCTAATTCTCTTGCCGTCTGCAAATCTCTGAAGGCATCTCCTCTCACTTCAGATTTTTCAGTTTTTGCTTTGCATATAACCCGCTACTCATTAATAGATGCCTGCTATGTAATGTTACCTTTCAGCACAAAATAACACAGGTTATAGAGGAAGTTGGCGGTGTTGCCTTTTTGAGGGAACAGGAGATCATGCGGTTATATTGTGGATACCTAGTCATGTGCCTGGAACAAGTGCCTGTGTGGGTAGGGGGGCCTGAAGCAGAGGAAAAAAGTGAGGTGTGTTGGCTGCAGGGACAGGGCCAAGCCCTGGGTGGTATGGCAGGTCCCTGTTACAGGGAGAAGAAGCAGTAATGCCTGGCCTTCCACCTGGCCTTCATGGGTGTGGGGCCCACCACTGTTCTGTGTGGTCTTTGCTGAATTCTGAGAGGGGAACTCCCGCTCTCCTTGAAGTAGGGGAAAGTTTACAAGGTGCCAGTTACTGGGGAAGGGCCTGCTTTGGATTCAAGTTTATCCATCTGTTCTAGCTGCAAATAGTTTATTTGCACACTAGAGCCCGGTGCACAAAACTTGTACACTGGGGGGTTGTGTGGTGGGGGTTGTCCCTCAACCCAGCCTGCATCCTCTCCAATCAGGGACCCCTCAGGGAATGTCCAAATCCCAGTTTAAGCCCAATCAAACAGGGACAATCCCTTTCACCATCGGAGACTGCTGCCTCCCAACTGCTAGCCTTCCTTCCTGTCTGATTTCCTCTAACAGCTTCTGCCTGCCAGACTGATCAATTCCTAACTGCTTCCCAGCCAGCCTGATTGCCCCCACTGCACTCCCCTGTGGGCTCAATTGCCCCCAACTGCCCTCCTCTTCAGGCCTGGTCTCCCCCTACTGCCCTCCCCTGCCGACCTGGTCACCCCTAACTCCCCTCCCCTGCCAGTCGTATCATTCTCAACTTTCCTACCCTGCTGACCAGTACGCCCCAAACTACCCTCCCTTGCAGGCCATCTTGTGACAACATGGGCATAACAATCTTGTGACTACTTGGGTGTGGCCATCTTGTGACCACATGGGGGCAGGCATCTTGTGCGAGGACATCATGGTCAATTTTCATACTACCTCTTTATTATATTGAATTTTATGAAAATCCAATGGTCTTTTCTGCTGCAGACATGAAAGCATTTTTATATTTCAAAAACCACTTTTAATTTTATCCCCTGGTAATAATAGTTAGTAGCTTCCTGCAGGGTAAAGTCAGCTTCTATTTTGAGGTTTATCAGGGGACTGTATTACCTCAGCAAAAAGTCATTTTAAGGGTTCCCTGCTTTTCTATTAAAGCAGATCTATAATAGCAACTGTGCAAACATTCCGTATCTTGGTGTGTAACTGGTCTTTCTACATTGTGTAGGATTATTCTTTGTGTGTTGAAATAAGGATTCAGCCTAGGACTTATAAGACCATAAAGGGATTCTTGATTTGAAACATGAAAATTAAACTTTTGCTGAATGTTAAGTTTATAGATGCTATTTTTAAGTTACTGATGCTGATAGTGTAGTTTAAAAATCCCCTCAATTCTGTAATATCTTTGTGCTCCAGCATAGGGGATGATTCTTAATTTTACTGTTTATTTCTGAGAACTTTCAGTAAAACTCTATTTGATGCAGATTTTATATATGAAGATACCAGTTATGATTTTCTCTGTAGAAAAAACAGACATAGATAAATATTTAATCTATTAACCACTTACATTCATGGGAATATAATTATAAAAAAGTGATATAAAAAGAGCTTCTAATATAATTATGTCTCAAAAAGCTATAAATTTTAGATTCTCTATTCTTTTGTTCTCCAATGAAAGTTTAATAAATTATTGGGCTGGGAATTATTGATAATTAGTAATAAAAGCATTAATTTATTTGATAGAAGCAAATGTCAAGGAATCCGTTTCAAAATAAATGGCTATAGAAGGAATGTTTTCTCTATTTTAGACTCTTCACTTCGATGCCATTAAGGAGATTCATTCAAGTTTTCAGAGCCTGAAATGCTGATACAACAAGCGTGGAGCTCCCTATATTCTGAAACTAGCTAATAGGTTATATGGAGAGAAAACCTATGAGTTCCTCCCTGTGAGTACTTTACATTCACATGCTAAAACTCACTAAACAGTGCAGACATTTTTCAGCACAATCAAGTCACAGATGTCAGTTTTTATTTATATACATTCAGAAATAAAATACAGAATTTAAACAGATGGCAGTATCCCCATTAAGGATTTGATTTCATTTGATAATCTTCACAGGAAAAGACTGACCCTGGCTGTGTTACTAAAGCAAGAGTGAATTCCATAATTCACTTCCAAGAACAACCATTGTATACTTATTTATGAAAATGTTAGCCAAAGGTCAGAAAAGAATTGGTAAATTTTATGTGACACCAAACTACTGAACTGTACACTTAAAATGATTAAGGTGGTAAATTTAGTGTTATGTGTTTTTTAACATAATGCAAAAAGTGTAAGGGTTAGAGTTTTTTGTTACAATGAAATTTATGTCTTTTAGGACAATTTCTACTGCTTTTAAAAAATTTAGAAAACCATTTCTGTATGTAGTAGGACTTATTTGTTTTTTGGGTTTATTTTATCTTTTTTTTTGTCTTAAACAGGAATTCGTAGCTTCAACGCAGGAAATGTATGGTGCTGAACTGGCCAGTGTAGATTTTCAGCGAGCCTCTGAAGGTGCAAGAAAGGTGATAAATGAGTGGGTCAAAGGGCAGACTGAAGGTGAGAGAGTGGGCCGAATGTAGGCATTCATTACACACTGGCCGTTCCTTTCCTCCTTCCACTTTCCCAGCCTGCAGATGATTCCCTGCCCTTTTCCTCTGCCCTCACCCTCGTGCTGGGGGTAAACTCTTCCTCTGCCCTCACCCTCTTGCTGGGGCTAAACTCTGCCAGTGCCCAGTGCCAGAAGCTTTTAAATGTGGAAATTCCTCAAAGTGGGAACTTCAACATGCTTTCACTGAAGCAGCTAAATATTTTTCCCCATAATTGACAAAACCACATTTTAAAATTAAAAGTAACATTGAATGTAGCATAAAAAAGATAAAGCTTTGAGGAAAATCCATCCTGGCCCTGATTATGGAAAAGAATCCTATATAATGAAAGCTTAATATGCTAAGTGTCAGGTTATCTGGTCGGTTGTCTGTTCAAACAATCAGAGGGCAATATACTAATGATATGCTAAGGCAACTCAACCTCTCGCTATGACGTGCAATGTTCACTAGGGGGCAGACAGTCGACCGGTCAAGCAGTCACTATGATGTGCACTGACCACCAGGGGATAGACACTCCGGCCAGTAGGTTAGCTTGCTGCTGGGGTCTGGCCAATCAGGACTGAGCGAGATGGGCCGGACATGCCTTTGCACCCTCCCACAGTGCCTTTCTGTCTGGCCAAACTCCCTCATCACTACTGGCCATGGCCATGTACCAGTGGGGTCCCTTGCCCTGGCCTACACCCTCTCACAATCTGGGATCAATCAGAGAATGTCAGAGAGCCAGTTTAGGCTCGAGCCTGCTCAACCCAGGAGATTCCCCTTGGTGGTCAGTGAACTCCAACAGGGGAACACCACTCAGCCAGAAGCCGGGCTCACAGCTGGCAAGAACACCAGTGGTAGCGTGATTCACCCGCTTCCCAGCAGTGCTAGGGATGTCTGACTGATGACTTAGGCCCGTTCCCCACCAACGGTCAGTGGTCCCTAAGCCACCAGTCAGACATAACCCGAGAGCTCCCAGACTACGAGAGGGTGCAGGCCAGGCTGAGGGCCCCCCCCCCTTGGCACAAATTTGATGCATCAGGTCTCTAATATTCTCATACTTGTGACACAAACTGCTGTGGCCATACGTATTTAGGCAAATGTCATGTCCAAGCTGTCAGGGATGACTCCATCTCATCTGTTTCTCCACCACCACTCTCTCTAACCTTGTCTAGGTCTGAATCAAGGCACCTACCCAACACCTGTCTCCCATCCAAGGCATTCTTCATGGCCATGCCGCAGTCACAAGGGAACTGCTATGTCAGAGGAGTCACTGTCTTAGCCTTCGGATATGTGTTAAAATATTTTCTATGAGAGCAGCTTCCACTTGGAGGCTTTGAAGAAGTGACTTATTAAAAACTAGAAGCCCGGTGTATGAAATAGGTGCATGGGGTAGGGTCCCTCAGCCTGGCCTGTACCATCTTCAATCCAGGACCCCTCGGGGGATATCCAACTGCTGATTTAAGCCAGATCCCTGCAGTTTTCCGACATCCTTCCTGCAATCTGGGACTACTGGCTCCTAACTGCTCACCTGCCTGATGGCCTGATCGCCCTTACTACTCTTCCCTGCCAGCTGGATTCAACACACTGAACTCCCCTGGTGGCCTAATCCCCATAACTGCTCTGCCCTGCTGGCCTGAGCCCCCTAACTGCTGTGCCCTGCTGGCCTGTTCCTCCTAACTCCTTTGCCCTGCCGGCCTAATCCCCCAAACTTCTCTCCCCTGCCATCCTGAGCCCACTAACTGCTCTCCCCTACTGTCCTGATCACCTAACTGCTTTCCTCTGCTTGCCTGATCACCACTAACTGCCTCTGCCTTGGCCTGCCACCATGGTTTTGTCCCAAAGAACGACAGAAAGGTGATCTGGAAGGTATTCGGTCTAATTAGCTTATTACCCTTTTATTAGTATAGATCGTTTTCATGAAAAAACATTTTTTATGCCTGCCAAAGAATAGCCATTCACAAAAGAAGGCTCATTGTTTCTCATACAATGCAAGATTGTCCTGTTTTTAGCTTTTAAATCCTTTAGTTGGTTTATTTACAGTCAAAACATACTGGTAAGGCTTCCCTAACTTAACACATTAATGGGTATTAAATAAAAAGTATGAATTTGAATTGCATTTCATTGCAGTTCAAGAAAGGGATGCTAATATGTGATTTTTT